TACTTACTGATGAACACCAAAGACCACAGCCTTTGGTATGGGTTACATGTCAATGTAAAGAAAACAGAAGTCCTCACCAGTAGACCAATAAAAACATCCATATCAATGGAGAAAAGATTCAAGTTGTCAGACTTCATTTTGCTCGGATCAACCATTAACACTCATGGCAGCAGCAGTCACGAAATCAAACAACAAAATCTGCTGTGCAAACCTTTTTAAAGTGTTCAAGAACAAAGATGTCAGTTTGAGGACTAAATTGTGCCTGATCCATTTTCAATAACATCTTTTGTATGCCAAAGTTGGACAGTGAATAGGAAGACCGTAAAATTGATGCATTTGAATTATGGTGTTGGAGAATATTGAAAGTACCACTGACTGCCAAAAGAACAAACAGATCTGTGTTGGAAGAAGTACAGCCAGAGTGCTCCTTAGAAGCCAAGATGGCCAGATTTTCTCTCATACTTTGGACATATTATCAGGAAGGGCCAGTCACTTGAGAAGAATATCATGTTTGGTAAATTGGAGAGTCAGAGAAACAGAGGAAGATCCCTTAGGAGATAGCCTGGCAGAGTGGCAGCAGCGATGGGCTCAGGTGTAGCAATGATTGTGAGGTTGGCCCAGGACTGGAAGAGATCCGTATTTGTCCCCACGTAGGGTCACTATGAATCAGTACCAACTCGATGGCAGCTAACAACATATTGACTAAAAGAGACCGTTGGTGGAATTATGAACGTCAAAGGTGATGCTGAAGAAGGCTTAGAATGAAGTGAGGAGAGCTGTAACACGAAATGACAGTGAGAAGCAGTGACAACTGTAGCACAAGAACCAGGAGAGCAACAAGATGGCACAAAAGCCAAGCCAGGGAGCAACAGAGCCGAGTGCTTCATGCAGGTTTCTTGTAGTGTAGGGCACCTCTGGACACTTGCCAGTGAAGCTAGGCTCTCTGACCCATGAAGCAAGAGAGCCTAGCACCATCTAGTCAAGGCTCACTGGTGGAGTGGGGTGCCGCTGGGCACTTGTTAAGGCAGAAGATGCAGAGATACGAAACATGGAAGCAGAGCTGCCTGTCTCAAAAGGTAAGGCCACGACCTCTAGGGTTTTCTAAATCTCAGAATCAGATCTTCTCCAACTCAATTTCTAGAGTGTGGGGCTGTCATTAAGATGGGGCCTCTGTTCAAAGCTGACGGGGGCAGAACAGGGCCTGTCAAAGTAAGGGGTGGGGTTGCCTAGGAAAACATGGCTGCCCAAAGCCAACAGAGATTGGAAAGCAGGGCTGATGCCCAAAATTGAGGGCCTTCACCCTAGAATCCAAAGTGTGTGGATAACACCCAGAGTATGGCAGGAAGGGTCATTGCCTAGATGGTCTCTGAGAACAAAGGATTCTTTTCAAGCCTTTAGAGCCAGTGGAAATCGTTGGATTTTTCACTTGCTTTGTGTCCATTTTTCCCTCCAATTGTGCCTATTTATAATGAAAATGCCTACCTTTTGACTGTTCCACTATTGTATTTGGAAGCAGATGGTCTGTATTCTAGACTCACAGATTAATTAGCACCCTCTCAGTTACACATGTATTCGGTGCATTATGTTGTTGTTAAGTGCTGTTGAGTCGATTCCGACCCATAGTGACCCTGTATAGGGCTTCCAAGGAGCAGCTGGTGAGCTTGAACCACCGACCTTGCAGTTCAAACAACTTTGCAGTCTGAAGCATTAACCCACAGAGCCACATCAGGACTCCTGCATTATATCAGGCCCAAGTATAACTTTATAATTGTTTTTGTTTAGACATGATGCATGTAGTTTAAGGAGATAGGTCTAGGTGCCAAGCTGACAAGGGGGTGGACCGTGATAAGGTTTTGTGTCTACTTGGCTAGGCTTGTATTCTTGAGTTTGGCAATAAGAGCTAATATAACGCAGTACATGCTAGATTCGTAGGCTCTAGATAATTGAGACAAACCCCTAGTCACCATGCTGGAAATAGCTCTCTTGTCTCCCCTGGACTACCTTGGCTTCAGGCTCTAACAGTCCCCACTGCCCCCACCCCCGGCTCCTTCCTGCACCAGATTCATGTCACTGTTTAAAATCCCTCAATGCTTCATCCCCACTATGATGGCTATTATTGGAAATTTGAAAGAAAAAAACCCAAAAAACCCAAAAACCAGCAGTAGCAAGGATGTGGACAAACTGGAAACTTTGTGCATTGTGCTGGTGGGATTGTAAAATGGTGCAGCTAGTGTAGAAAAATTTGAAGGCTCAAGAAATTAAATGCAGATTCAACTCCTGCGATACATACCCAAGAAAAAGCAGGAATACAGATACTTGTACAAATGTTCTCTGCAGCATTGTTCACATTAGCCAAAAAGTAGAAACAATCCAAGGTCCATCAACAGACGAAGAGATGAAAGTGTGGTACGGCCAGCCACACAATGGAATACTAGTCAGTCATTAAAAAGGAATGAAGTTCAGATATACGCTATATCACATGGATGAACCAATCCTGAGACCATTATGCTAAGTGAAATAAGACACCAAAGGACAAATATAGTATGATCCCATTTATATGAAATATTTAGAATCGGCAAATGCATAGAAAGTAGATTAGAGGTTGCCAGGGGTTGGAGGGAGGGGGGGTCTTTATTGCTTAATGGGTACAGAGTTTCTGTTTGGGGTCATGAAAATGTTTTAGAAGAAATAGGAGAGATGGTTGAACAACATTGTGAATATAATACCCTGAATCGTGCAGTTAAAAAATGGTTTAAACAGCAAATTTTATGTTGTATACATCTTCTTGTTGTGTGCCATTGAGCCAGTTCCAATTCACAGTGACCCTGCATAGGGTTGACGAGAGCAGTTGGTGGGTTTGAGCTGCCGACCTTTCAGTTACCAGTCCAGTGCTTATCCTACAGTGTCACAACAGGGCTTACAATAAAAAAAAAATATATTAAAAAACCCCTCAATAACTCCTTAGACATAAGGCCAAATCTATATGCCAGGCTCTTGCAAACTCCCCTGAGCCTTTCATGCTCTATCTAGGCTAAGTTGTATAGAAATATCTAGGTGTAACGTGACTTAGTCAAAGTCATATCCGATGACTGCTAAGACTTAGTGTTAATGGCAGTGAAGACTACGTGAGAATTTGCTGTGGACCAAGCTCTGCAAAAAAGCAAGGGAAAAGTTCTATGATTCCACTCAATTGCTTTATGAGGTAGGTATCATTATATGACTTTACAAATGAGGAAACTGCAGCTTCCAACCACCTGTCAGCCATATAGTTGAGAGGACCAGGGCCCAAGGGGGAGATGTCCTGTGTCCCACAGCAGACTCCAGAGAGAAGTCCCAGTGTTTGGGCAGAGCGGTGAGAATCCCTCACTTGACAGAGGCTGCTAGGCTGGGACTAGGAGATGTCCCAAGGAGACGGGGTGCTCATAGGGTCACCAAGCAATCTCAGCTTCCTTAAGACTGGTGCTGGCAGATTTTCTCAGTGACACCAGAAGGGATGGGCAAGCCCACAGCACCTGAGGTCTGGACCAAAGTGAGGGAGACGCAGGGAATGGGGCTATCCACAGTAGCTGGGCTGTAGCAGTCTGAGCCTGTTTTTAGCAGGTAGGGCCATTAACTCATTTAAATGTATATATTTATACTTTTCTTGTCATTACAGTCGATTAAATAACTTAACAGATATATTAAGAATGCACAAAGAATTTTGGAAACTAGTGTTTTAAACTTGTCTAGTTATTTTGAGAATGAGGAAAACCAGAGGAGCTTTGGCTGCCACCTGGTGGAGAAAGGCGAAGAAAATAAAAGGCCTCATGGAAATTTCTGGCAAGTCTTCAGAGAGCCTTTAGTTGTAGTTGTTTGGCGGGCCTGTGGGTTGGACTGTCCAGTCCACCACACACTGTCTCCAATCTTTTTTTGCCATGGAAAAAAACTGGACTCAAAGCTATAGTTTATATTAATCTGAGATTTATACAAGCTTAAGTTATATAAGCTACTTACTTCTTAATTGCACAATGCTGAAGCCACTCTTTAAAAAAAAAAAAAAATCAAAAACACACCACTGCAAGGTAATTCAATGAGTTGCTTTTTTACAAATGTGTACAGAATTCGTCGGCCACGATGCCATACCACAGTCAGGCCATCCGCTCCGCCGGGAGCCCCTGGCACAAGGAGCTAGGTCGTGGCAGCCAAGCATTCTGCTTTCAGATGACAAGAGATGGGGAAGAATCTCGAGTTCCCTTTGTTCTCCAGTGTTTCGTGTACAAAATATTACAGTTTTTAAACATATATTTACAGAGTTTGCACAAATAGAAAATGGTTACAAATTACAATCAGGCTTGGCATGATCACTGCTCTACCCCCATCCAGGCCAGAGGTGTGATGACTGATTGCTCCCTATTTACATTTCCATTAAAAAAGTGTGCGTTCTGGGGAGGCCTAGAGGAAGCTTATACAAAATGATTAAATGCCATAAATTCACTTACATAATGCTATACAAGTAATCGACATCAATAAGTCAGTTCTTATCTTGCTCCCTGAAGGTATTAGAAAGGCTTGGGAAGTAAAAGAAGTCCTCCCAAGCAAGCAAAACACACTGCTTTGCCTGTCTGCTAAGGGCAGAAATATCACTGAATGTTTGGCTGGGGTGGGGTGGGGGGTGGAGAGAAGGGATGGGGGGGCAGAATAGGACAACCTAGTTGATGTTGCTTTTCAAATTCAAAAAAAAAATTTTTTTTTTTTAAATGCAGTTTGGAGTCAGGTTGAGCCCACTGACTTGTTAATACCATCGTATGGCTTTGAAAAAAACAGCCGGTTCTCTCCTTTTCTTAGACACCAAAGGCCTTCTCAACAGGACTACAGTATTGGGGGGTTGGGGTGAAGAAAAACCCAGACGTCTGGGAAGGACGACGTTTTGTTACTCGGATGTAAAGTCTTTGCCTTCAGTGCCAAGCTCAATTTTAACAGTGCAAAAAAGCCTCAAGCAGCGGCTGTTGGGTGGGTGAGGGTCACAGACTTGGGTAGCAGGTGTCCACCCACTGGGCAAGTCCTCGTTCCACCAGCCACCGATTTATCAACACCACCTAGAAGAGAAAGTTCCCTTGAGAGCTCTGTCCAGGGCAAACACAGGGGCTTACTCTTACAAGCCCAGAGGAGCAAAACAAGTAACAGGTTTACAAGAGTACTGGGGTGGGGGCTGGGGGGCACACATGACTCCTTTTCCTGGGACAACAGGGATATTTACTTAGATGGTCTTTTGGCCACCCTGACATGAAGATAGGCTCTTCAATAAAGAAAAGAAATCCAAACTTCAACAGTCTAGAAACAGAAGGACAGACAAGCCCAATGGACAGAGGATACAGGAAGGGATCCCCCAGCACCACTGAGGTTCTGGGCCGGTTCATTCATTACTGCCCTGCCAGGGGCTGTCCTCTGCATGGCTGGATGTCTACTAGCATCCTGGGTCTCTACCCCACTGACAGCCCCCAACTGTGACAATCAAAGATGGCTCTTCTGGTTGTTGTTGTTAAGTGCTGTCGAGTCAGTTCCAACTCACAGCAATCCTAAAGGTGTCTCTAACACACTGCCAAATGTCCACCAGGGGGCAAAGGCCCCGAGTGACATCCTCTCTGGGGAGCCAGCTCCAAATCAACCCTTCACTGCTCAGACATAACTCAGAAGGAACTTACTTCATCTCCAACCACACTCCACAGCTGAATCAGAGGGAGGCCAGTCGGGCTGTAACTCGTCACCTACAAAACAAAACCCCAGCATCATCACCAGGCACTCTTGAAAGCTAGGAAAGTTTGTGCATCCTTTCCCTAAAGACTGCTGGCCAACCCAGGACCCCAGCAGCAGGGAGGCCAGAATCTAAACACCAACTCCCGAGAAACCCCTCCAACAGACTATCCAGCCAGCCCCATCTCCCACCCATCACCCACCTGAGCAAGCAATGCTGTGTTTCCAGTCATCTCACTCATAGCTGCGTCTGCCTCGGGTGAAAAGTGCTCTTCATCTATAGAAGGAGAAAGCAAGCAGTATTTAGACGTTCGGTGGCACAAGGCCTTCACATGACCCACTTGACGTTCAGGTGTGTTCCAGGTAGAATCCTCAGACCCAGCAGTGGGACCCAAGAACTTCAACGGGTGAGCCACTGTCAGGGCACAGACCATAGGTCTCCACGCAATGCCAGATGGGTAATCATGGGTCCCTGCTGCCTGCTACCCACTGGGAGACAAACCCCAACTTTCAGTGAGCTAATGGGAATACCACCAGCATATGCCTGCGTGCTACCTGAGCTGAGCACAATGTATGAGACGTGAGTGTTACCCACCCCACCCCGCCCCCTTACAGGTGAGAACACCTGAGACAAAGGTTGAACACCCAAGGACATTCAATTCCCAGTGTGGTGAAGGGAGAATTGGTCCCTTAGCCTGGTTTGGGCAGTCCCTATAGGATGAGCTGTGCTGGGTTACAAAGTCATGTTCAAGAACAATCTGAAGGCAGGAAGACTGAAGACAGTCTGGGAGAGTCTTGTGGAACGAGCATTTTAGCTGGGCTTGGATCAATAGCTTAGATGGACAGAACAGGAAGAGGAAAGCCCGTAATGAAGAAAACAAAATGAGGACCATGCCCCAATTTTCAGTCAGATGTGACTCCAGACAGACTACAGTGCCTCGCAAGTACTCGATTGCTGTTAGAAACCAAGAGAGGGGGAGGTGTAGAATGAACAGACTACACCTACAAATATAAAACTTGTTGGCCCCTGTCTATATACCAGTTCCTAAGTGTAGGGATTACAGTCAATCTGAAAGGTAGATAAACAAACAAACAATGACAAACAAAACAAAAAACCCACCACTACACTATTGTGATGAAGTCAATTCTGCCTCCTGGACATCCACGTGTTAAGAGCAGGAATGCTCTCTCAGGTTTTCTGTCTAAAACCTGTAGGCAGCAGATGGTCAAGCCTTTCGTCCATGCCGCCAGTGGGTGGGTTCAATCCGCCAACCTTTGGCTAGCTGTCTAGTACAAACCATTCAGGCCACCCAGAGTCCTTGAAAGTAAGGTGGGCGCCATCCAATTTTCCTGAGAGGGAAATCAAAGCCAAATAATTTGTCCAAGATCAGCCACAATGCCAGTCCTCTCTCTCCGGCAATGCCACCACATGTGTCGGCATGGTCCCATCAGTGTCCCACAGGAGTGGTGACCCAGCTGAGAGAGCCACTGACCTCAGTTGCCTGACCTCTCAGACACGGCTGCTAGGACCCTGGGTCTGCACTACATTCTGGAACATGCCTTTATTTGAAGCATCTCAAAGCTGAAGACACTGGTACAGTGTGAAGTGATGGTCCTACCAAGATGTGGCATTGCCTGAAACTTGTTCCCAGGCTCCACCTAACCCACTCAGTCAAAAACTCAGAATGTGAGCGATCTGTCTGTGTAAGGGAAGGAAGACCCACCACTGTAAAACAGAAGACCTACTTCTCAAGCTGCCCTAGCCAGAGACCCCCACCTATTACCTGACAGAGGCATCACGCTCTCTAGAAGGACTTCTGCTCCCTGGAACGGCAGCGTCACAAAGTCGGACCTGCCAAGGTGAGAGAGGAGCAGCTGCACATGGACCTGAAGGATGGCCCCACTCCAAGCAGCACCAACCTTTCACTTACTACTGTGGGCCCTGCAGTCCAGGACGCACCCAGGGAGGAGAGGGGCCCTGACTGGAAGGAACTGGACCTCAGAGCCACTTCCTGCATCAAGTTGCCATGGGATAATGGCTTTTCTATCTAGTTCATTTTTACTGAGGCAAGTAATCAAGTTTGTGTTGTTGTTGCTAAAGTGGTGTGAAGTCACTTCCGACTTAATAGCGACACTGTATAGGGTTTCCATGAAGCAGCTGGTGGGTTTGAACAGCAAATAAGGGCAGCCTGCCCACCCACCAGCCTGCCTGCACACTGGCCCATCTGTCTGGGAGTCTCCACTCACCTGATTTGCCGGAGCTCATCTACTTTCACCCTCTTGTATCCACCGTAGTCTACATAGCGGATCTCCACTTCATTTGTCTCTTCGTAGGAGGCAACCACCTGGGCTCGCCACCAGGCGCCGTCGGCACCAGGGGCAGCGCAGATGACCGCTACTGCAGGGTGGGAAGAGCAGCGTGTGGACACAACACCTGGACTGCTTGGTCAATGCTACCCACACCACCACATCCCTTCTCAGAGGCCTGCACCTCACCTCCTCAGGTAGGGGATGGGAGTCACCAACACAGCCCCTCAGAACCCCTGAGGAGAGATCTGGACGTGGGCCTTTCTGCATGGCATGTGTGTCACCCCAAAGCTACCCAAACCCCAAAGACTACGGAAGCCCATATACTATTCATAAAGTAAAACACAAAATGCAGGAAATGGGGACTAGGGGCTGGCCTACATTCTTAAAACAAAGTTCCTGAGAGAATCAAGAACCTAGCAGGGGAATTAGATCTTGGTGGATTGAGTCTAGCCCATGACAACTCAGATTGAAGGCCTGACCAGAGTATATTCCCCCAAGCCTAAACTCCACTTCCAGGCCTCAGAAAGGTGCTGATAACAGTAATACTGGGACAGCCATCGAGGTTGGAGATCATGTGCCTCAAGGGGTCACCAACCCAAGCAGCACTGGAGTAACAGAGACAGGGCAGACGAAATCAGGGTAAAGGCCACCCCTAGCTGCTGCCCGCACTGTGTGCTGGTCCCCAAGGGGACCCCCTGGTACAATCACCTCTTGGATTCAGTCTTCACTGCTGGGCTGAGGTGACCTTCAAGAATCTGATGAAAACTAAATCCTTATTTCTCAATATGGATTATATTAAAATTATAGAAAAATTGTATTAAAATACTACATAAAATCTCAAGGAATTTTTCTGATGCCTTAAAGCTCACTGAGGGGCTTGGGTTAGGAGAAGGAGCCAAGACTCTTGATGGGAGCTGGTAAGAATGAGAAGGTAGTCTAACATTTCATCTCCCTGACAGGGGCAGCACAGACTAACAGTAGCAAAGGTTGGGCTTGGATCCCAGCACCTACTCAAGTGTCACCTTGGCAAGTCACTTGGCTCCAGAGGCCCAGTTTCCTCATCATCAGATGGAGCTGACCCTGCCCAGTTGTGGTGGGTTTAGAGATGCTTTATGGGAAACAATGACCAGCATGTGTACCAATGCTTCACATCTAATATGTCGCCTCCAACCTTAATTCCCAGGACAAGTGGTATCTGCCCCATAGAACTTGCTCGAATTCCTAAGTGGCAGAGCTAGTTTATGAATCCAAGTGTCAAGATTCCAGTCCAATCCCATTGCCCCATAAGCCAGTGAAAACACCAGCTTTGGCTAACTAGGAAATCCAGGCTGGCAGAGTCCATGCCAATGGCATGAACACAGAGGATGCTGTGCCCAGTCTCCTCCTGGTCAAGGTCACGGGCAGAACCACAGGCAACTAACTTCCAAAGCTTCTCTGCTAGCCTGGCCAGAGCCCAGGTCCCAGGGCTGCCTCCCATCCAGCCCACCAGCAGCACTTACTTTCCACTGGGATGGGCAGTGTGGGGATCCCGGGCTGAGAGTAGCAGAGGTACATCTGCTGGTCCAGACTGCGCAGGGCGTGGAAGGTGGGATGCGTGTGCTGCTGCACAAACAAGTGGCCGGCGTTGACCTGGTTCACCACGATCACCTCCACGGTGATGCCATTGGGGAGCATGAGCTGTGGAACGCATGGAGAGGTGTAACAAGCACTCCTCTTCCCAGGTGTGGCATAAGCTCAGGGGCCCCGGGGCACCTATCTGTGCTCATCCATCTCTGAGAAGGGTAGAGCAACCCGAAACAACACAGCGCCAGGTGACCGAGGCTCAAGGAAATCTCCCTAACCACAGAAAAGGTTGGACACCACTGTGGCCCTGGGCCCGGCAGGGAGGCTCCCAGCAGATACTCAGCACGCAGGAGCCAAGGATGGGTGTATGGGTGTAGTGTCGGGCCTCATGTTGGCCTGGCCAGGGTTCATCCAGAGCCGCCCCTCCCTCCCACCTGTCTTGATGAGTCTGTAAGACCCAGGGAGGGCAAACGTATGCGTGAGCTGGGCACTAAGAACAAGGTGTCCGAGAACAGGTGGGACAGTCAACTCCTTGGGACCTGAGGCTGACCCCAGAAGTTCATGACTGGACAGTGCCCCTCTCACCTCTGCCTTCCAACCAGCAAGCAGGGGCCTGCCATCAGATCCAGGGCCAAGGTCTGCAACTGTCCGTGTGCTATTTGCTCTTCTTCCTAGTGCTTCCCCTCCAACCCTAAGTCCTGATCCTTTTATCTGAGCTCCAGACATGGTCCAACTCACTGTCACTTGGGAATGTAGACTACAGGAATGCTCAGAAGCTAGGCCGTCCATGAAAGGCCCTGGGCAAAAGCCAGCATTGCTCTCTAAAGAGCTGTCCCTAGACACTAGTTCTCCTGATGCCAGGCTACCAGCACCATTTAGGAGGTTCTGGACTGGGCCACTGGCCACAGAGGGAAGAGCCCCTGGCTGAGAGGCATCTAGGCTGACCTCTCCAGTCTCACTGAGCCAAGCAGAGCACAAGGGAAAGAAGCCATATACCACTCACTTGCTGAAACATTTGAAGCATTAGAGCCAGGCCTCCTAGCAGGGAAAAGCCTACAGTTTCAGGAGAGGAGAGGAATGGGGTCTCATGGCCTCGCAAAAATCTACAGAAAAGGAAAGATACATTCTATCCCTTCCCTGTGGGCACAAGGGTCTTTGTGGGGCGGGAAACAAGACACAGAATGGAAACATCTCCAGGCTACAAACAGCCCGGCGCAATCAGCCATTTGTGTGAAATCCACAAAGCCTTACAGTTCTACTCTCAGTGAGATGAAACCAAGCTGAGCCAGGGCTTGCTGCAGGGATTGAAGCTCTTTTCGCGAACTCTAGGTATCTTCTGGGGAGGGGAAGGGGAAGGGACCTTTCACCAAAGTCATTACCTATCACAAACCCCATCTAAACCCAGGATGGTGGCTGACCCTGGACAAACACCAGCTTCCAGGAGCCCTAAGCCACTGTGGACACACCATCCTCCCATGGCTGGATTACAGTCTTCTCCAGGCAATTGCCTAGGAAATGCAAAGGGGGTGTAGGCAGCAGAGCTGGGGGGGAAGAGGTCCTTTCAAAGGGACCTAGAATCTCTGGCTTCCTGCCTGCCCCCAGAGAACACAGGTGGCGGCCAGAGGTGAGAGAGCACAGGCAGGAAGGTGCCGCTGGCCTCTCTGGCCCACAGTCTTGGGAGGCTGAGGCTGCTACTGGGGCTGGTTGGGGGCACAGGAAATCCCGTAGGTGCTGGCGGCATGCTCACCCAGGAGGTCATCGGTAGGGAAGGCAGGGTCAGGGACGGCAGTGGGGGTGCGTAGATATTGGTGAGGTTCAGCTCCTTGAACTTCTTCCCAATCAGGTTCAGGGCTTTATCCACATGATGCTGAGAGCCTGGATGGGGTGGGCAATGGGAGCAAGCCAGACTATTAATGTGGGTAAGAGACTCAATATTCCACCTACAGCAACTTTCTTAAAGTTCAAGAGTAGTGTTAAGTGGCCCACTTGCTGGGCTTTAGAGAAATCTAAAGCAGCTCGGATCCTGATCACCTTTCTATCGACCCTTCTGCCACTAGGGTCTATGGTTTGAAAGCACAGGGGGCTAGCCAGTGAGGAGAGGCCTGGTCCTTGCTGACTAGAGACAGGGAGCCCATGTCAGGATGGTAGGAACTAGGAATTCAGGACCCTGCCCCATCGATCCTGGCTCGCTCCTCTCCTGGCCAGCAACTGAAGGTAATTTAAAGAGGGCTGAAGAGACCACCCAACTCACCCTTCACCTGGGATGAGATGCAAGGCTTCCTATTCAGAGGCCTAGACTCCAAAGGCTGCCCCGCCCCCAGGCCCCTCAAATGCTTCCAGTTACGTGCATTTCTGGTAAAGAAGAGAGGGGGTAGGCACAGCAGTGGCCACTGACCTTCTATGTGGCAGATCTGGATGTTCTGGGTGTAGGGCAGCGTTGAAATGTAGATCTTGGCACCAGATGTTTGCTTCAGAAAACTCACGTACCGTCCCTGCTTGCCAATAAGTCGACCAACTAAGTGCTTCCGGAAGGAAGAGACAGAAGAGGGTCAGTGGGAAAACCAATTCTCTATACTCCCAAAGACTGACCTCTTAAACAAGGTCAAGTTTAAATATGTTCTAAGTTATCATGTCAGCACTTACCTGCCAGGTACTGTCCTAAGCACTTAAATTCAGTCATTTAAAAAAAAAAAAAAGTTGCTATCAATTTGACCTAGACTCATGCAATCCCATGTGTGTCAAGGCAGAGCTGTGCTCCACAGGATGCTCAATGACTGATTTAAATAAAAGAGTTGGCCAGGCCTTTCTTCCTACATGTTTCTGGGTGAACTTGAACCTTCAACCTTTCAGTTAGCAGCCAAGTGCCTTAACCATTGGCAGGACCACCCAGAGACTCCACATTTATTCAGAGCACCTATAAAACAGGTACGTTTCTCATCTTTTTATAGACCAGTAATGAAGCTAAGTAACGTGTCCAAGGTCATGGCATCTAAGCATGTGAACTTGGCTGGTTGACGCCAACAGTTCTGACCCAGGTCCGGAAAGTGGCAAAGGCAGTATCATCTCCAAAACTATGCCATGAGACGCTCTGCTCAGCACAGGGTCAGTTTACAACTTCACACTGACCTTCCCTCTCTCAAGTCTGCTCAGGTCCAAATATAAAACCAAACCCACGGCCAGCACATCGATATTGACCTTACAGGGCAGAGCAGAGCAGAGCTGCCCCATCGGGTTTTCAAGGCTGTCATCTTCATGAACTCAGATGGCCACATCTTTCTCCCATGGAGTGACTGGTCCAAACCCGTCTGTCATTAGGGGCTGAGTGTTTTAACCACTGTGCCACCAGGGTTCCTTCCAAAGATAAAGGGGTTCGATCTGGAAATAAAACTCTAAGAACCCCTGGGCCCCTGCTGCCAATTCACAGCAGGCTGGAGCCTTCAGCAAATCCAGACCAAGCGGCGGCAAGTGGGCCAGAATTCAAGGACATCTGAGGAAGTCAAACTTAGCCATGATGTGAGACAAGTTCCGAAACAATCTCAAACGAACCCTGAGCCCCAGAAAGGCTTCAGACCAAGCCAAATCCCCACGCCAGAGGGAGCCTGCCAATTACCTCTGCACCCCAGAGACAAACCTCAAGCTCAAACTAATACATCGTAAGTTACAACAGCAAAAGCTGTAAACCACTGAAGCCCCCTGGAATTGGGGGCCGGTGGAGAACAGTGACATTCATATGATGATTCAAGAATGCAGCTAAAATTACACTTTCAAAGCATAACACGGGGAAATGAAATTGTTAAATATTTAAAAGCATTAATTAAAACAACCTTAAGTTTAGTTTCGTTTAAAAACCACAGGGGGCAAGACATGAAGGAAATAAAAGTTTTCACAGTCACTCTCAGGGATCGGATCAGAACCAGTTTTTATTTCTCCATACATTTCTACACTTCCCAAGTTCTCTCAGATTACGTGTCTGTGCTTTATAGAGGGCTCTGGTTTTCTGCTACCATTTCCAAACAGCTCCTAGCACTGAGCCCTGAAGGTACACACAGACCAGCAGCCCACTGAGGACTTGGAGAGGACACTCCTGAAGGCAGCTGCAGGAATTCAATTTGGTAGGAAGCTCTCAGAGCCTTGGCTATGGGCAGAGTTCCTTTCCATCTCTGGCTTCTCCTGGTTTTTGGTCCATCCCTTGGCCCCACCCCATGGAGGGGCCAGCAGGGATGCCTGAGGCCCTTACCTTTGGTACCTCGATCTCCCAGATGATGAGGTCCACCTTCTTGGGGTCAGAGCCTGCCTGGGCACTCTGGAAACCCTCGGTCTTCCTAAGGCTACAGCAGCTGTCCACGGAGTCCATGCTGTTTCCGTCGGAGCCTGCAGGGGAGAAGAGGCAAAGCGCGCACACACACAGGCTCAGAGCTACCAACACCAAAAAACTTCCCAAACTCACATTCCCGAGAGGCCCCCTCCTCAAGCTTAGCAGATGACTGCCAACTCAGTATAGGAAGATCAGCACCACCCCAATGAAAGGAAGACTGGGGGTGAATATACACCTAATTTTAGCCTGTCACTGACGGTCCTGCTGGTTAATTGGCAGCCGCGCCCAGCCACAGCTGCTGGGGCAGACAAGTGGTGAACTCTGAACCCAGGGAAGGGGAGCCCACGGGGCAGGGAGAGGCCTGTGTGGTCCCAGGAGACGAGAATGTGATGCAGGTCTCAGCGACTAGCAACAACCATTTTAACACCTCCCAACTCTTTCAGCCACAAACCAGGGGTTCTCCAGTCACCAAAGCTTCGGGCCTATGTCCACAGAGGGTGACCTCCAGCCAAGCAGAGCTAGACAGTCTCAACCTGACTAGGCCCGTTCCTCTGCCAGCCACGGACAAAGGAGCACCTCTGTTCACTCTCTTTAGTCTAACTTTTTGTTAAGTGTTGTTGGGTTGATTCTGACTCACAGCAACCCTGTATAGGGTTTCCAAGGATCTGCTGGTGGGTTTGAACTGCCGACCTTGTGGTTTGCAGTCCAGTGCTGATCCTACAGCACCACTCTTGGTTAAATGCTCATCTGGACTCATGGCTGGTCTTTGATCCCCCTGGTCAACAGACTGAGCTGAAGTACATTCCATAGGGGACAGGCGAGGACAAAAGACCACACTGACTAGAGCTGCTTCCAGTGCTCCAGCCAAGGGAGCCACTGCAGAAAAATGGGTCCACACCAGTTCTGAGAAGTAGCTCAGGCTTCCAAAAGGACCCCTCAAAAGCCAGAAGCAGACTGTTCCTGAGACCCCACTAATTAGGCTATTTCCCCTGCTTTCTCCAAAGCCTCCACAGCAGTCTGTGGGTACAGACCTAGAACTGGCTCTGCTCCTATCTAGGGAAGAGTCACCACCTTCAAAGCCTACCTTCCACACCAGCAGGGAAAGCCCTAGTGAGAAGTCTGCTTGTTCCCCCAGCTAGATTCAGAAGCAGGCCAATGGGGGCTCTCAGCCTTTGCCAGACAACCCCGACAGCACCTGAGTGACTAATGACCGCACAGAGCCAACAGCAGGCTGCACCCAGAGGCAGCTCCCTCAGCCCAGCAGCCCATGGACCACTGTCAGCACCAACGTCCTATGCACAGAGCAGGAGTAATGTGGGAACAGTGCCTGGCACGTGTTAAGTACTTGACAGAGTCAATCACGAGGCTTCTACCTGCCCCTCTGAACCCCTCCCTCTCTGCCATCATAAGCCTTCTCTTCTAAGTCTCAGCACTGAGGCCTTCAATGCAGCTGAGTCGCCACTACACAATCACCCTACAGTGGGCATGCCCCAGTGTAATCACTTTGTTCTTTAAAAAACAAAAACCACCCATCTTAAGATACATTCTTTTTAAAATTTTGACATTCCTGAAGTTAAGATATGCCTAATAGTCTCTGGCCTTTCTCAATCATGACTGGCAGCATTCTGTTCTTATCTGGGCACACAGGACAGTAGGGTCTTAATCAAGAGCATCCTGTTGGCACTGATGTACAGTGTGTGGTACTCGGCAGATGCTGCAGAATGGAGCAAAATTCCCAGGAAAGAGCCCCAACCTTCCTGGAAGGATGAATCTGTGGACAGGGGAAGGGCTCTGGGACAGACATGTCAGAAGCCACACGGGGCATCTCTTCGTGAGATAAATTAACAGTACCCAGGGGGTGGCCGCAAAGGCAGGGCCAGAAGCTGCTGACCTGTACGTTAGCAGCCTGAACTGTCTACACTAGGGTCAGCGCTCGAAAAACCCTGTGGGCACTTCATTACCAAAGTGCCCCTCTTTCCCGGGGATGAAGTGAGCTTCACAGAAAGAAAATGGCTGAGGCCCTCGGCAAAGAACGGCTCAGAGGAGCAGAGCTGCCCACAGAATTCAAAGCTGGGGCCATTGTCTGGGCACTTACCCTGTGGGAGCCTCTGGAGGAGGAAAGCAGGTGAAGACATAGGAACAAGCACATGGTTAAAAGGAAAGAAGCCATTAAAAAAAAAAAAAAAAAAAACCTCTCACCCATACTTGGCACACAAGGGCACTAAAGCTAGAGAGGCCTCTCTGTTCAAAAACCATTATGAAGTTAGCATTTAAAAGAGGCATGCCTATGCTGACCAGGGACCCCAACTTTTAGCTGAAGGACTGGGAGAGGGGGGTCTCATGGCTTCAGGGTTACAGGGTCACCCACCAGCTCTATGCTGCATCCCTATGCCTCGGCCAGTTGGGATACAAAATGGAAGAGTATCACTCCTTCCCTGCAGAAGCTAGAGAAGCAGGCCAGCAGCCTGCGCCCCATGGGTAGAGGGAGACCCACCCACCCCTCTACATGGTGAATGCCCAAGATGCTCCTACCTCCCGAATGGTCTGTTTCTGCGTCCATGCTCCATCCATCCTCAGCCCCCAGGTCTGACAATTCCTCCTTCAGTACCCCATTGCTGAAGGGCACAGTACTTTCTGGCAGCGGCGGGGTAATATCCTTGTCCCGGGGGCTCGAGGTAGCATCTGTGCAAGAGTCTTCGAGCCCCGACATGCTGGCAGAATCCGAGCCCTGGACTGAGGAGCCCACGGATGGGACGTCCTGGCTGCTGTCCAACGTGCCAGTGATATAGCCAGCATCCTCCATCAGGGCACTTGCCTCATCCGGCAACTCTCCCTGGGCGGTGGCTTGTGACGGGCAGGGGACCAATGAGATGTGGTGTACAGAGTTCCTGGGCAGCTTGCTGTCCTTGGTGGGACTGGAGAGGGGGCTGTTCAGGCAGCTTGTGTACGTTTTTGGTGGAGACGGGTCCTCTGACAAGGCCAAGGCAGCATCCAATGAGCCCACAGCTGCCTCTGCTGTGGCCTGTCTGGGCTCCACCGGAGCATGGCCCTCCTCCCCTGGGCATGGGGACTCACTCTCTGAGGCCTGACACATCTGCCCCGTAATCTTGCCAAGCGTGGTGGCCCGCACTTCTTCCGCCGCCCCAGAGATCACTTTGGAGATGATCTGCAGAGCAGCCTGCTCAAGCATCTCATCTTCATCCACCGTCTTCTCTTTGTGCACTTCTCCTGCGAGGTCGCTGTCCCCAGGTGCCGGCACCACCTCGTCCTCCATCAGCTGGGTGTGCAAGGGCTCGGTCAAGCTACTTAAGCCCCCTACCACATAGTCTTCCCTCTGCACTGGTCCAGCCCCAGACAGCAGGCTAGTCTTCCCTTTCTCTTCCCCTCCTTCCAAAGGAGCCAGGCTGGGCGCTTTGCTCTTCTCCAATTCAGAGCCATGCTCCTGGGCCACCACCACTTCTTGTAGAACATTCTCTCCTGGCACCGCATCACCGGTCCCCTCTGCCCACCCCATCTCCCCGGGGCCATGCTTCTCTGGGAGGGCTGCTGAATGGCCCGGCCCAGCCCTCCCAGGCGTCCTGCTCAGCACATGCTCCTCTTTACACACCTCAACTGTTTCTTGGGGCAAAGGTAACTCCTTGGGGGATGGGAGGGGACACTCGAGAGCAATAGACTTTGCTTCCTCACGAGTTAGGGCTAATTCCACCTTTGCACAGTCGTCTTTGTGTGTTCCTGGTCCAAGTCTCGTGTCTGTGGTGCTGAGAAGGCTGCCTGAGGACTCGGACCGACGAGCGGCTGGATGTGGTCGCAGAAAAGCTGGGGGCTCCACGGAAGGCTTACTTGTAGGGCACAGCTTCTTCTCTGGCAGCTGAGGGTCTCGGGGAGGCACAACCACAGCTCCAGGACCAGTGTCTTCCACAGGGAGGGGCTCCTTGTCGGTGGGGTCTGTCCTTAGGCTCACAGAACTGGCCCCCTCATGCTTGTTGTGGCTATGGATGTGTTCTTTTTTACGAGAATAAAACCACCACCAGCCGAGGAGTGCCAGCATCCCAGGCAATGCTAAGGGGAAGAAGGAGCGGAGCTGGATGGCCATCGTGGAGGCGTGACGGGATTATACCTGGGGAGAGCAGCAGAGGAGAAGGGAGAAGGTGAGGTCGAGGGGCTTCCTTACCCCTCCTCACACCACACACTCACGGTGATCCACTGGAGGGAGTCCCCGCCTTGTACCCCCCAATTTATGCACATACACACACTCCTGTGAAGCAAACCGAGTGTTCTCTGGAACCCCAATCCCCTCCCATTCATAGCTTTGTGTCGACCAGTTCTCCCTTCCTTCTCCAGGGACTAGTTAGGGTTAGGGTGTCTTATGGGTGGTATCGGAACATTCTGAGCACCCACAGAACACACCCACACCATTCCCAGTTGTGGGGGATCTTAGACCCTAGAACCTGGCTGCATTCGTTTATCAGTTCTAATAGTATTATAGTCGATTCCTTGGGATTTCTATTTTTTTTAATCTGTGAATAGAGATTGATTTCTTTCAGTAGGGAAGGGTCTTAATTTCTGTAACAGTGGTTCTCGAATGTGGCTATACATTAGAATCACTCAGAAAACTTATGAAATTTCAATGCCCAAGGCTTCACTCCAAATAATTCATCAGACCCTCTGGCGTGGGACCCAGGGAACAGGTTGCTTTTAACCCAAGGAAGCCCAATGTGATCAAGTTTGAGAACCACCAAAGGAGCTTATAAGTCCTGGTATGGCACTGTAGGATAAGCACTCGATCACAAGGTTGGCAGTTCAAACTCACCAACTGCTCCTTGGAAACCCTATACAGGTTCACTATGGGTTGGAAATGACTAGAAGGTACTTAATAACATGAACAACAGCGCTTCTAAGGAACAGCTGGTGGGCTGGAACCACCACCTTGTTGTTAACAGTCCAGTACTTATCCTACAGCACCACACCAGGAGTCCTATGTTGTTGCTGTTGTTGTTAAGTGTTGCTGAGTCAGTTCCAACCCACAGCGACCCTGTATAGGGTTTCCAAAGAGTGGGTGCTGAGTTTGAATGACCAACTTTGCGGTTCAAACTGACCTTGTAGTCCAGTGCTTTATCCCACAGCATCACACCAGGACTCCAATGTTGTTGTAAAGTGCCATCCAGTTGGTTCTGACTCATAGTCACCCCTATATAGGGTTTCCAAGGAGCGAGTGGTGGGTTTAAACTGCCGACCTTGTGGTTCGCAGTCCACTGCTGATCCTACAGAGCCACACCAGGAGTCCTATGTTGTTGTTAAGTGCCATCGAGTCGATTCCAACCCATAGCAACCCTGTACAGGGTTTCCAAGGAGCAGCTGGTGAGCTTGAACTGCCGACCTTGCAGTTCTAACAGCTTTGCAGTCTGGCGCATTAATCCCCAGCGCCACACCAGGACTCCAGGAGTCCCGTAGGACATTGGAATTGCCTGGATTCTGTAACAAAAGAGCCCTAGTGGTGCAGTGGTTAAACACTCAGCTGCGAACAGAGAGGTCGACAGCTCAAACCTACCAGCCACTTTATACAGGAGGGAGATATGACAGTCTTCTCCCATAAAGATTTACAACCTTGGAAACCCTATGGTGCAGTTCTCCTGTCCTACAGGATCATCGTGAGTCAGAATCAACTACACAGACATAGGTTTTGGTGTAGGGAGTATTATATAACAACAACTGGAAAAATAAAAAGACAGATTATGGAGAAGGGAGCTCTCAGCATTGGGTGCCCAATGCCTGGTGTCAGGGAACCAAGTCTTACCCAACACCAAACCCAAGACCCACTAACTCAGATTCATAGCAACCTCATAGGACAGAACAAAACTGCTGTCATTCTTTACGGAAGCAGACGGCCACATCTTTCTCCCATAGAGCAGCCGGTGGGGCTGAACCTTTGAACCACCAGGGCTCCTCTTACCCAACAGGGCAGGCTAATAGGAAGGGAGCAGGTATCTGAAACGGTTTTCCTCTTGCCAGGAAATCTGGATTCTGATTCCATCTAAATTTGGCACAGAATCAATCGTTGTAATATTCCCCCACTGAATTCTAGCAATTCTGTGATCTTATCAGAAAGATCGAATAGACTGATAAGACACATGAAGAGATGTTCCATGTCATTAGAGAAAAAGAAGTCAAAACCACAGAAATGGTTAGTGGGGGAGGGGGAAAATAAAGTGAACGGAGGTCAATACTGTGAACCGATGGCACATGGAAAGGATGGCAATCACTAATGAGGCCAAGGGTAGGGTTTGTTGAATGTGGGACTGATGATCTGTTCTATAAACCTTCACTCAATTCACAATGAAAAGACAAAAAAAACAAAAAACAGAAAAACCACACAGAAAACCATAATGAGCTATCGCTTCGTCCTAAGATGGCTATGACTTTTAAAATGACAAAAAAAAAAAACACTGAAAAAAGAAACAAGAAAACAACAGATGTTGGTAAGGTTATAAAGAAACTGGACCTCTCACTCATTGCTAGTAGGGCTGTAAAATGGTACAGATGCTGTGAAAAAGTTTAGCAGCTCCTCAAAGTTAAACATAGAATTCCCATATGTGATGGTTAATGTTACGCCTCAACTTGGCTAGACGGTGATTCTCAGTATTATGTAATTATCTTTCATTTTGTGATCTGATCTAAGGAGCTCTCTTGAGGTGTTGCCTGCACCCAGAATATATGATGCTCACTTGCATTTGTGTTTTCCCTTTCTCCCTCTCCTATGTCCGCTCATCACCTGATCCCTGTTTGGGGGACTGAGCCTAGCCTGCCACCTGACCTGCCTATTTTAGGTTTGTCTGTTCCTGTAACCATGTAAGTCTGGAGAAGTCTCCAGCCAGACACATCTTTTGGGACTTGCCAGTATCCACTACGCAACTATGTAAGCCACTTCCTTGAAAACATTCTCTTTGTATGTATTTATATGTGTACACTTCACTAGTTTTGTTCCTGTAAAGTACTGGTGTAGCGTGGTGGGAAAATGCACTGAGCTGCAAGGTCAGTTTGAATCGCAAGGTTGGCAGTTCAAATTCACCAGCTGCTCCTTGGAACCAACAACAGAGAAACCAGTGTAAGACACCATGTTGTTGTTGAGTACTGTAGAGTCAGTTCCAACTCACAGCAACCCACTTTAGGATTTCCAAAGAGCAGCTGGTGGGTTTGAACCACTGACCCCGTGGTTATACTACAGTGCCACATCAGGACACTACTGTTGTTGTTAAGTGCCTCTAAGTTGGTTCTGACTCACAGCAAGCCTGTATAGGGTTTTCAAAGAATAGCTGATCTTGGAGTTGCAGCCCAGTGCTTATGATGCAATGGCACCCCAGGACTCTATGTTATTAAATGACTTTGAGTCTGTTCCGAATCAAAGTGACCCTCTATAGGGTTTCCGAGGAGCAGCTGGTGAGCTTGAACTGCCAATCTTGCAGTTCAAACACTTTGCAGTCCAGAGCATTAACCCACAACGCTATATCAGGACTCCATTGTTGTTGTTATGTGCTGTGGAGTCAGTTCCGACTCATAGTGACCCTGCACAGGGTTCCCAAGGCTGTAAATCTTTTTGGGAGCAGAAAGCCTCCTCTTTCTCCTGCGGAACAGGGGGTAGTTTCCAACTGCTGACCCTGAGGTTAGCAGCCCGATTTGTAACCATTATGCTACCAGAGCTCCTTACATGACCCAGAAATTCCATTCCGAGGTATATACCCAAGAGACTTGAAAGCAGGCACACCAATGTTCACACACACACACATGCACACCAATGTTCTCACACACACACCACAGTGTTCACGCTAAGTACTACCACAACAGTCCAAAGACAGAAACAACATAAATTTCCATCAATGGATGAATGGATCAACAAAATGTGGTATATGCATACAACAGAATATGACTCATCCATAAAGAGGCATGAAGTCCCGATACATGCCACATCATGGAAAAGACCTTGAAGATATTATGCTGAGTAAAATGAGCCAGTCACCAAAGGGCAGAGATTGTAGGAGCTTGCTTATATGAAACATCTAGAAAAGGCAAAATTACAAAACCAAAGCTTATTAGTGGTTACGAGGGAGTCATTGCCAGGAGCCATTAATCGTCTGTTATGGGTGACAGAAAACTGGAACTGGATGCCAGTAACTGTTGCACAATATTATGGACTTAATGGCATTAGACTGTGTATATAAAAGATGCTAAAATGACACGTTTTGTTTTATATATACTTTCAAAAACAACTACAAAAAGAGATTCCATGGAAGGAGGGAGGCAGTGAGGAAGGTTAAGAATCCTTGATCTCAATCACCCCCCCCCCCAGTGCGTATCTCTTTACTTTACATAAAAACCCAGGGATGGGACCCAACACCTGAAGCTCAAACGGGAGTATGTACACGCATGTGTGAGAGGTTCAGAACTAAGAATTGGCCCTAGAGGACCTGCCTTTACAACTTGAATTTGACCATTCCACACCAACACTGTTTTGTTCCCCTTGTTATTGTTAAGGGTTGTTGAGTCGGTTCCGACTCATTGAAACCCTGTAAAGGGTTCCGAGGACCGGCTGGTGAGTGGCGGTCCAAACCAACCTTGTAGTCCAGTGCATTATCTTACAGAGCCACACCAGGACTCCTTCTGCCTCCCTCAGTGCCCCTTAGACACTACAACAGAGCGGAAACGCCACACTCCAAGCATGCATTCCAGTCAGCGGGACTTTGGACCTGCCACCTGATCCACACCCCCAACCCTCACCACCAGTCCTCGCTCATACAGAAGGCACAGAACCAGCCACCTCTGAACTCAACACAGGCCCAGTTGGCTGCTGCCCTGAAGGACCACTGCCCTTGAGACACCACTATCAGGCAGGTGTTAAAGAAACCCCACTCACTGAAGCTTGAACCCCCAGATTCACTGCACGACAGCAACCTGTCAGTTACACCTACTCAACTGACAATGGCAGCCTAGGAAACACTGGTCCTGCATCATTTCTAAACCAGACACCTGCCCCCGTGCACCCTGGATGGCCCTTCCTAAATCCATTTAATACCTTAGGTCACAGTGCCCACCTCCCCAGCCTCC